TTTACTTGAACGATCCGTGACGGTGGCGATTTTCACTCTGCATTTTATTGCACCGCATTTGGGCGCGAGACTTCTTACTTCCGACTAACGACTGCCGCTTTGAGCTGGTGACGCGGGTGGCGGCTTGTCGCCGTTACCCGCTTCACTGGCCGGGTCTGACGTTTCTCACTCGTGATGGAGGCCGCGATGTAGACTCCTTATTTTCCCTAAGGCGCTGCTTTGTTCGTGTATCCTGGTTGTTGTGTTGCTTCTACTCTATACGGGATGTCAGGTGACTTCAGGCAGGGACCAGGGCTTTAGGGACTTGGATGTACAGTGCCTGTTGTCATCCTTACAGTGAGCAGCTTCTCTCAATGTGTCTCTGGCCGTTCGCGGCGTGGCACGCTGACTGTCTTTGAAGGACGGTGCACTATGTGCGTCGCTCTAGCGACCGGGCTGAAAGCCTGACCACATATCCTGTCGCACAGCCTGGACTTCCTTGGCGGCGTGTGAAACGAAACGAAACCACCACCACCACCACCACCACCACTACCACTACTACTACTACTACTACTACTACTACTACTTTCAAGCGCTATCAGCAGCTGGCGAAAAATCATTCCGTACGACTACCCGATGCCTACCGATTGGCTTCGTTGTGGTTTGAGTCGTCAGGAGATATTTCCAAAGCGGTGAGCACAAGCCCGTAAGGGACGAAGTGCATGACCTGCTGCGGATGCGTGCAAATCACACTCCTGGCCTTCAAGACGCAGGCCTGTTGCTGTTGGATGGTTTGGTGCCAGGTAGGATCCTTCCGTTTTGCAAGGACTTGTGTTTGCGTGATTCGCCGCTTTTGAGGACCCGGGCGCAGTGTCCAGTTCGCTTCTACAGACGCTCGGCAGCATTCTCGCTGTTCTTTCGCTTGTCTTGTGTTGTCTACCAGTGCTGCCCAAGGCGGTGCGCCGAGCGCAGTCTGTTCCTGGCTGAGGGCGTCCACATTGGTTGGGTGAGTCCTGCATCGGTTTGAGTCGTTTGTTTTGTAAATGTGTACCGAGCCCCAAAGACCGGTTGAAGCCAATTGGTCTCGGGAGTTTCACCCTGCGCACCTGCTGGATTTTCATGCTTCCGGGGTGCCGCAACCGTTTGACAGGCTCCTCAGCCTTAACCGCAAGGCACTTGCGGAGCTTGCGGAGCTGGTCCATCTCACATTCGCTGTGCAGGAGACTTTGCATCCAATCGGCCACGGCCGGAGCAGCTGTGTGTGCCCCGCGCCATGCCTGGGAGTACCAGGTGTAGCATTGCACAAACTAAGGAAGCTGGAGCCTGACCCATCCCCTGCTCGTGCAGGCTCTGCCCGAAATATGTTTGCTTGCCTTCGATGCGTTCTTGCCCTCGTAGGCTCTTCCCGGACGGAGTCGGAAGACGAATTGGAAGATGAACTGGAGGAGGTGGATAGCATTCCCACCAGGCAGCTTTCAAGGAGGCCGCGGCCTCAGAGCCTGGTTGGGGTGGTTTCGGGTGTGGTGCTAGTTCCAACGAGAAACGGCGAGGTTTTCATGGAGTGCCCGCACCTCAAAATTGGCTCTGCTCTACATGCAGCAGCCAGAGCCTGAGCGCCTGTTGAAATGAGGAGTATCCAACCACACCTCTCTTTCTGACAATGTCAGCCGACAAGCCCAAGGCCAGAGCCAGGCTCGCTAGACTCCATGAGTTTGTGGGGACGTGCAGGCTCCTGGAACCCAGCCGCGAATCGGAATTGACATCGGCGGTGTTGCTGCCTGAATTGAGCACTTGGCAGCGGGCAGCCTTTCCTCTGCTGGCTTTTGGCACTTCTGGTCCTCAGGTGCTGACCCGGCAAGGCGACAGGACCTACATGGGTCCCCTTGACGAGTCGGGAACTCAAGTTTCAAGAAGGCATGATCCTTGACAGTCGCCGTTCATTTTCGAGCCTCCTACAAGGTGGGACACTACTTGGGAAGCCGACGGTGCTTTGGATGCTGCGCTTGTGCCGCAAATTTGTAGCATGGCAGACCCAGGTGATAGTTCACTCTTTGCACAGGTGGGGAAGATCGCACAGGTTTTCGGACCTTCCAATACTTTTCTTGTGAGCAAGGCGCGGCCAAAACAGCGTGCCTTGCTTGTCTCAGCGTCCGATAGACGCTCCTTGATGCTCTGCACGTGTAAGTTTGGCCGACAGAGGTGAGCCCCGGCAAAAGCATGCATCGGCGAATGGAGCAGTCCCTCACTGAGTGATTGTCAGCTTGGCTAGCCCGCAAACTGTGGCCGGCAAACGACTGTTCAAGGTGGCTTCACGAGACCATGGACTTTTGCGAGGTGAGCCCTTCGCTGGGGCAGCTGTAGTGTTCAATCTGCCTATGCTGTTTGGTGCTGAGGTCACCGGCGTCCCCAAAGACAACATCGTTTTCGTCTCAGCCGTGTCGGGGAGCCGTGCTCAGAAAGAGGCCGCCGGGGACCTGGTGCTGCAGTTCCAAGTCCAATGATCCAAGGACTCAAGGCAAAGGAGTTGTCTGCGAACGACTTGGGATCTCTCATTTTGTAGACGACAAGATCGAGGCCTCTGTCATGCTGATGGATCCTGTCCGGCTGCACCGCATGCGCAGTACCAGGTGCTCAAGTCGGTGTTTGAGGATGAGGCCAACGCCATCTGATTTAAGCCTGAGCCGGAAGGCGTTTCGCAGGTGGCTACTTGCTTTGGACAATGTTGACAGCATGGGCTCAAGCAGTGCATGCAGTTAGGCTAGCAAGACTTGTGAATCAGCTGAAACACACGAGCCTCAAAAGCCTGCCAAGCCGTCACCAAACGCTTCGCCATGATGCAGACAAGCGGGCATGGAAGCCAGCTGCCAATCCAAAAGGCAGGACAGGAGGCCAGGTGCAGAGAATATGCAAATGCAACGAATTAAGCTGTGAGGAGGTGTACGGGGATCATAACCAGAGCTCGTCCGCTTCAGCCTTGGAGATCTTGCTCGAGGAGGCAGCATGCCAGAAGCTCGTCGAGAGAGGTACCTTATGGTCACAGCATGTGCCATTATTGGCCGTCCCCCGCGGGGGAGGGGGGGAAATGAAATGGGAGGACTCATGAGCATTATCTCGCAGTGACACTCTAGAAATGCAGTCTACAGTAAGATTTTCCACAGAAACAGGACAAACACGGTTTCGCATAGACTGTTCGAGAGAGACAGCGGCATCCAAATTGCCTGGCTCTGAATGTGGGAAGCAAGACAAGGACTCGCGCCGACGAGGCGGCGTTGGTTGGGCTTGTGTTGCAGGATGAGCCAGAGAGCTTCCAGGCCTCGGGACTTTTCGTTAATACTTGTGATGTATGACCACGGGCCTCATCAACTTTGCAGAAAGGGAACTTGATTTCAGGTTGTCCTGAGACCCATCACAGGGTGCAAGCTGGGATTAGCAGCGCCTTGCCTTCCCATGGAGTGATCTGCGTCGTTACATATTCTCATGCTGCTATCTCTCAGTTCTCAGACAAGGTCATGGAGTTCGGTCGAAGACTGTTGGTGGCCATGGTCCACCCGAAAGGAGTGGTCAGCACCTGGAACGCGACTTACCCGGACCTGTCTATTGAGGCTCGGTTTGCTGGCCGACACTGAGAGAACGTGGTGCTGGTTGTGTCACAGGAGCGGGACTTATTGGTTCAAGTGAACCACGCGACCGAGTACTTCGGCATGGTGCAGCAGCTGCGGTTTTCGCAGGTGCTGCTTCTGAAGCTGCAGCGCCAGGACGCCGAAGCAATCAGTGAATTTTTTGCAAGAGCGCCGAACTGGGTTCAAGCTGCAAGGAATCCATCAAGTGCTTGCCTTAATTGGTCGGTTTATGCTCCCGAAGTGTCGTCGGAGTCCGTTTCGAGAGGTCACGACCCATCCCCGTGCGCGCAAAATGGGAGCCGCGGGTGGGTACTGGCGAAAGTTCATCAGATCTGGATGCTCGCCACTTTTAACTGTGAGCCCGCTCTGTAGGCACTGTTCTGATGTCACCCGATGTCGATGCAGCTTTGCGGGGCCAAATGAGGATTCGAACCTTGCACTTCGCGCTGTTACTGAGTCGTTAGGGCCACACAGTCCGTCCACCTGGAAGAGCGCGGCGACCTGTGTCGTTGAACATTTCGTTCATCAAGAGCATCTCTTTCTTGGATTCTACGGCTACCGGATCCTCACCAATCGGACATGGGCGGATTGTCCCGTCGCCGGACAGACTCCGATTCTCAGCCTCACCGTCAAGCAGCACATCGAGCAAGCGGGTCATACTTGGTACATAGTCTCCTGCGAGCTGGTGCTTTTCAACGCCGGCCAGCGGGATCTCTGGTCGCATTTATGTGGTGCTTTGTTGGTCGGCACCCTTGCTGGCTATTCTCGATTTGTGCATGTCGTATGCATCTGATTTCGATGCCTTTGTCATCAGCGCGTGGTTCAAGGTAGTGCCTGGATCACATTTCTTTTTTTGTCCATTGTAATCGTTTCCACCCTTCTCCACAAGGACGTTCTGAAGTGGGAGGCTCCGAGACGACTGGCGCAGTTGCGAGCAGACTTGCACGATCGGGTGAAGTTCGGCATGGAGCCGAAGGAATACAAGGCGCTCTTTGAAGAGGCGCCTTTTGCACATGCCGGTGGCCACCTGCCAGGAAGTAGCATCGGGTAGATCTTTTCGTCTTGGTGCTTCAGCTCTGATCTAATCAGATTACCTTTGCTCCTGGGATTGCAAAGGTCCGAGCGGCACAACGTTGCGTTTGTCGAATTGGATGTCCGCATTGGCAGCATGTATCAACAAGCTCAGCGTAACTCCGGCCGTCGCCTCCTTTACCTTGACTTTCTTGCACGCTCCGCCGCTTGGCTAACTTGGCCAGACTGGCGAAGAGGGCGTTTAGGTGTTGTCTCACTGAGGCTGCCGCCGCATCTTGTGCGTGATGCGCACCAGTGAAAAGGGAGGGTAGCGGAAGCAAGACGGTTGTCATGGGCTGACGATGAGCGTTTCGCAATGCCTGCATGTCACTGTCAGGCTGGCAACAGCCGCCACTTGGTCGAGCGGTTCCAGGCTTTCAATTAGGAGTTCAATTGGGCAGAATCGGGGGTCATTGGTTTGCAGTCATCGTGGAACCTGTTTATGTAGCGAGACAGTAGCCGAAGGGAGGGCTTCAACGAAACTGTTTCCGAGCGGTTAGACGGTTAGCCATTTTTGGATGAACCCATGTCCTTGCAGCCTTCATTAAAATAGATGCCGGTACTGGGTTCCCGTGCCGGTTGTCTATAGAGGGCTATGACTATGAGGCACGTCATGTCTTCACTCACCTCCCCATGCGTCCGCTTCACGGTGAAAGGCCGTGGCTGGGAAGTCTGTACTTCTATGCGAGGTGACTATTCTGCCGCGAGACCATCTTTCGGTGTTCCTGGGAGTGTGCGACATCTTTCCGTGCTGCTGTTGCCCTGCTGCGCACTCAATCCGAGTGCCTCATGCGTATAATCGAAGCTGCAAAGCGCTGGCCGCGAGAATGCCCGGAATAGGAACCGTTTTCACATCTGCTCGAAGGGCCACTGCCGCGTTCCGCCCGGACAGCGGAGCCTCGTGAAAAGTGGCAGAAGGCGTAGAAAGGACCAACGGGAGGCACAGCCCCGGAGCAGCTCGGAGGACTCCCGTCGGCTAGACCGTAATTCTTGCTTTGCTGAACGAAACCCGCGGCCTGCTAGAATCTGCAACATGCCATGGGACAAAAAGCATCGCCAGGGACTGCTCTTCCACTTCGCGAAGGGCGGCCACACAAATGCACTGCTCTAAGTGCAAATGCCTCCGTGTGGTTTCTTTGGCCATCTTTTCTTTGGCTATCTGTGCGATGCTCGGCTCAAGATCGGCACATAGTCACTCGAGAAATCAGAGTCGAAATGCCACCATGTGCCCTGCATGGATGCTCCGGGACGACCGGATGGTCGACTGCTACATGAGGACAGCGCTGGCTAAGCGCTTCCAGAACACTTACGGAGCCAAGCACAACTGCTTAGCCCACCAATCGCAGAGAAGGAGTTGGGGCAGACGGCATGGCAACCTTTCGAGCCCATTTCTGAGCAGCTTCCTGTGTGGCAGTCGGAGACAAAGTCGTAATGTCGTAATCTTAGGTCTGAGTCTGAGGGCGTCTGCCAAGATGTTCGACGTGGTCGACGCTGGGTACGCCTTCGGATTCAGCTGTGAGAAGTTGGGCGGCCCATGTTGCCAGATGCATATGTTTCATGAGCTGCAGAGCTCGCTCAACTGGTGCGGAAAGGCCTGGGCCACCACATGTGCTCGCTGGATTTTGTTGGGTGCTGGCAGCTCAGGAATCTGGCCTTTCGTGAGATGCGTAACTTCTGGCAACATCCGGTCACTTAGAAATGTGGGGTGTTCAAGGCTTTGCTGGCGGTTGCCGTGGCTCTCTGCACCCAGTCAGCCATGTGGCGGGACCGGGGCTGAGCACATAGCTGGCCTGCGATGCAAAGCACTCCGTATGGCATGTCGCGCCACCTTCCACAGCCAAGATTGGAAGTCTTGCCATTTGCCTCATTCTCTGCCTTGTAGGACTGCGGGCATACTAGAGTTACTAGAGGTAATCCAGACGTCATAGCATGATGGACTTGTAAGGCTGGGGTTTCGCAGGATTCTTCTGGCGTGCCTCTGCGTCACTCGTTTCTCGGCGAGCTCCTCAGCAGAAGTGTTCCGTCTGTCGTCTCTGGCCCACGAAGCGGTCAGGACCAGTCGAACACAAGGGATGAGAGCAGACGAGCCTGCGTCAGAGGCAGACACCTCTCTGCCCTTGGACTTTGTCGGATCTGGTACTCGTACTTCGAGGCTTTGGACCCTGGGGCTGGTACCAGCCTTCAGCGCTCAGATGTGCTGACTGATGCTCGGCAGCGAAGACCATATTTGGCGGATGTGTTACTTCCACTTCATGTTCAATCCAATGGACCCCATGAGCTACTAGTATTTCTCAATTCTTCGGCTGGCCCATATATCTTAAGTGTCCCAACTTGTTGCCTCGTTTGCGCTCGTTTGTGGCTTGATCTTTCGGCATGTTGCAGTTGCAAGTGTCCCAACTCTTGTGCCCTCGGGTGTGAGTGAGCTGAGGAGCGAATTCAGCAGCTCAACACGAGGAGCTGAAGAGCTTCCGAGCGTTTTTCCATAGTTCGGGTTGCAGTTGAGAAGGACGAGGATTTGCACCAGAGAAGAGTGGGAGGAGGCCGTTGCTCCAGCTCACCTTGCAGTCTTGCAGACTTTGCCGTGCCACAAGTGCTGTTCAGGCGTACCTGCCGGAACTCTCGATGCAAGAGCCGGGAGTTGCGTCACACGGTTGATTGTTTGCTGCGATACAGCTCGAGCCACATCCAAGGACATCCTCGGGGCAAACTGGTCAAATCGAGTGTCCATGGAGTGCAGTATTTGTCCGGAGCTTGTGCGAGTGTTTAAGCACGCGAGTCTTGCTGTGGAGTGGAGTGGTGAGGCTTGGGCCAAATCGCACCGACTGCGCGGATACGGGGGCTTGGCTGTGGACACATGTCCGGGCCCAAATGGCAGTGCAGAGGCGGATACTGAGAAATGTTTGCCGTCGCATACATTAACCCTCGCCGTTCGCTCAGGTTCCACCTCCAATGCTTGGCCGACTGGTTTCTGCGGGACGTTAACGTTGTCACACGACTCCCAACGAAGCATTCGTTCATTGGGCTGGCTCCGCAGGACTCCACTCTGGAGTTACGTTGCCCTCTTTGCCGCATGAGGCTGGCTGAGCAGCCATGCTGAAGCCTAAGGGCTTCGTTGCCATGTCCGAAATTGAAATCCCACACGAACATGGCACGCCCAGGCATTCGACTAGAGGGTTTGCGTGGTTCTGACCACTCACTCCTTGGATCTTGACCGTGGACGAGCCCTGTGGAGGTGATATGCATGAGATCAGCCCTGCCAGTTTGTGCATGGTATGTGGTTCGAAACTTGTCAGACTCAGATGTTCGCTGCATGTGGCCCAGCTTCCTAAAGCAATTAGCCTTAGAACGGAAGCAGCAGTTCGCTTGTAAAACAAAAGCGTTCCGCATCCAGAGTTTGACCAGCACATGGATCCCACTGCAGCTCTGACTTCTCATTTTCAGCTCGCAAAATCCATTTGGCTCGTTCGTTGCACAAATGTGTGGCTTGGCGGGCGATTCCTTGGAATGGCAGTTGCTTCGGAGCTGTCCGAGCCAGTCAGTCCCATCGCTGTGGCCAGCAGCAGTGTTACTGCACCTCGCTTGTGACTTTTATTGGGTCTCCAGTAGAATACGTCTGAGATCACTTGTGATTTCTCCGGGTTTGGGATCAGGTTTAGGCTTATGGCATTACAATAAGTGTAGGCTATGAGGGAGGGAGGTCACGGGGGTTTTGGCTCTAGGCTGGGAGATAGAGTTTAGGGTTGAGGGTTTGGCGGCTTAGGGTTTAGCCGCTTAGCCTGTAGGGTTCTGGTCTTAGGCTTGGTTTCAGGGTCTATGGTTTCGGGTTTAGGGAGTTTGGGGGCTTAGGGTACATAGGGGGTTGGGGTTTAGGATATGGATCTTCAGGGTTCGGGCTTTGGAGTTTCACGCAATTTTAGGTCTAAGGGTTCTCGGTGAGGGTTTGGGTTCAAGGCTGGTTTGGCGTTTAGGGTCTCGGGCCTCGGGCTCAGAGTTTGGCCTAGGCTTTCAGCTCTCGGGCTTTGGCCGGGCCGGATCAAGCCTGTGCAAAACAGGGCTTGGAGTCTACCGGGGGTTTCGGGGCTCAGTGTTTGGGCTTTGTGGTTTTACGCGGGTTTAGGGGTAAGAGTTAAGAGTTAGAATTCAGGGTGAGGATTTCGGGGTTTAGGGATTTGAGCTGGGCAGTAAGGGCAGCAGCAGAGTCCCTTGTTAAAAAAAGGGATTTGGGTTTGGGGGTTTTGGAGTTTAGGTAAGGCGTTTAGGGTTTAGTTTATTTTGCGTGTACCGTAGTCATGTGGGGTACGTAAGGGGGGGGGGGCCGCGTTAAGGGTTTAGGGTTTCGCTCTACAGTGCGAGGGTACTTATTGTAGCATTCACTGGTGCAGTCTTCTCGAGGTTGTGTCGACTTGGGTCACCTGGATCCAGTTGGAGTTCTTCGGGGTTCTTCTGGACTTTTACATGCATGAAGATCTTCTACAGAGCCAAGGAAAAAGGAAATACTTTACATCGGCTTCATGACTCTTATCTATCAGGATCATCAGTTCGTCAGCTCTTTCAACAGCGTATCCGACAGATTAGCTTGTAAAATCATGAGGATTGTGCGTATTTAGCCTTGGGCATCTCGCCACGAGTGCGATGTGCTACGAGGGACATTGGCCGGGCGAGCTCCGGTTTCGCTCTTAGGCTAATTAGGGATTTACGGTTTAAGGTTTCGGGTTCGGTTTAGAGTTCACGATATAGGGGATTGTGGGGTAGTGGGTTAGCGGGTTAGTGGTTCACTGGGTACTGGGTAGAGCGGGCGCTGGGTAGTGCTGGACTGCTGCCCCAACCAGCCGTACAGGCCGCACGCCTCTGTCCTTGGTGTTTGGATGGGTTTGGGGCTTCAGGCTGTCATGCCACGTGTCCTAAACCTTCGACAGTGCTGCACATTCGAAGAGAATCACGAGCACAGCCTCTACCTCCCACTGCTATGATCCAGCTGCATTCCTTAACTTGCGGCCTGTAACGGCTTGGCAGACGGCGTCGGCACCGGCAGCTGAGGTGCAGTCCGTGCCAGGGAGACCCTTGCGACAGAGCTTGAACGCGAGCAGGCAAGAGCAGCTCCGGCTCGTTGCGTCTCCCGTCTCCTGGCCGAGCTTTGAAGAAGAGTGATACAGCTGCCCCTTCCTTTGTTTTTTTGAATCGGTGTCTCTCGTTATCGCGTGCATTCAAGGTCAAAGCCTCGGCCCTCATAGCAGAAGCGACGACGGCGCCTTGGACGCAACCCCCGAGCTTGAAGGGAGCCTGGCTTCACGTGACAAGCCGACCAGGTCCTGCAGTCTCGATCGAGTGGTCACAATTCTGCACCTACTCCGCGGCCTAGGGATCCAACCGGGCCAGGCTGGACTGATCAGGTTCAGGAGGATAGGGGCCGGTTTCCAAGAAAGTGACATGGCCAGCCAGCTAGCAAGACCTCTGAAGAGAGGCACGTGAAGCCGGATGTCTTACAGCTTGTGTTTGAGTGCTGAAGACTGTGGCTGGAGTTTGTCGTCTGGTGCGGCGAGGGTGGGGGCCAGACTACCCTAGTTCAGCGGGGTGTCCGAGTATGGCTTAGATTCTTGCATCGTTCAGTGGCTATCAGTTGTGAGGCATTGCAGAGCGCTGGTCGTCCAGGAGCAAGTCCCAGGCCGGTTCCGACTGTGCTCCGGGACATGCTGCCATTTTTCCATTCTGCGGTCCATCGTTTTCAGGGGCCAAGGCAGTCTGGAACTCGGCAGCCGAGAGCTCAGCTGGGTTCTCATCTTCGGTCCTTCTGGATTGGAAGGCGTTTGTCGCGAAAGGCGGTTTCAATGTTTGTCGGTGGTCTCCGTTCTCCTTCTCTGCAGCACGAGGTTGGCCCGCATCGAGGGGGTTGTGACCGAGATCCAGCGTGAGCTCAACGAGGTCAAGGTTCTGTCGGATAGCCACCCGCCAAAACCCTGCTACACGATTCGCAGCGGACGTGGAGTTCCTGCCCTCAGCCACGTAGCGTGTTCGAAGCACCGAGGTTTTGAGGAGCCTGGGACGCAGTCCACTCTGCTTGCTCCCACTCTGGCACATGTGGGCGTCGGTGAGCTCATGCATGTGGCAGGGGGCATAAGCCCTGTGGGGAGTCGCACGAAAGTGCTTGGATCACACGTGAGTGGGTATGGAGCTACGCTTCCTCACCCGCTTCAACCAGTGGGGAGCGTAAGTCCAGCCTACCTTTACCCGGCAGGGACACCGCGTCAGACACACAATTGGCACAGGGAGCTCGAGGAGCGCAAGTGGCGGGCAAACGCAGAGCACATCCTGATGATTGAGCGTCCTGACTGCATACCGGGATACTGCCATGTCATATAGGCTTTGGTGAAGGTGGCCTGCCGTGATTTTGAGGTCAAGCTGGGCGCAGCGTGTCAAGGAAGCAGAAGAAGCTGCATCCCGCTCAGATGAGCGAGCACGCGTGGCGGAGGCAAGAACAGACGAGTTGAAATTGATTCTGCTTGCAGCTGCAATAAATTTTCTGCCTGGAAGAAGGTCTTCGAAACCATCCTGACTCTGTAACTGTTGAGACATGCTGCATCAGCCAGGAAGCCCACGGCCGCTTGCTGCGCGAGAAAGCCGAGATGGCTGATGTAGGTTGACCGAACTGGTACATCTTGTCCATGGGATCAAGGTACAAAGAAAATTGGAGAGAGTGACATGTGGCCAGCATGTGGCACAAATGGCGAATCATGCTGCAGTGAAGCCAAGGCAGCCCAAGTGCGTGCAAGGCAGTTGGCTGAGGAGCTGGCGAAGTACACCTCCCTCGAAGCTCGTGAGACAAGTGCCTAGGCGGCGGAGTTCTCTGCAGTCTTTTTCAAAGATTTTCGGGGCCCAGCCGAGGCTTGCAGGCAACTCTGTCAGCCCTGGAAGACCGCGCGGCGAGCGCGGACAAAGTCGCAGCCGAACATCGAGCCGAGCAGGCGGAAGCTGGCGGCCCCGGGCTGAAAACGAAAATTCGTTGGAACTGAACTTGGGCTGTGGGTTCCTTCTCTGTCGCGGGTAGAAGCTCGTTTTCGTCAGGGGGCCTGGTGGAACCAAGTCGTGCACTCTCCAAAGCTGGGTGTTAGCCCGAACCAGCTGCTGCAGTCGCAAACCGTCCTGTTATTGGATCCCGCCAGTGTGCTTTTTCACATTATTGTCCTTCATGTTGCTTCATCGCAAGATGCTCGTGGCTAGTGTAGTGTAGAGTTCTTGATCTTCCAGTCGTTCTTTTCATTCTAGTCGGGTAGACATCGACATGACATCCTCGGTGTTCAAGAGCAGTCAGACTTGGAAGAGGCTGCAGTGGCCGACGAACTCGACATGGTTAGCGGGCGCTTCGAAGAGCAGCTGCAGCACAGCATGGAGCTCAAGAAGGAGCTCTCAAGGAGCCGTGTTGAAACTCTTTGCGCCAGGACGTTCTGAGCGCAAGGTGCGTCAATTAGGCTCGCTGAGATCCCGTGTAGCCCCTTTTTGTTTTGTCATCCACAGGATGCGTGATGAGCTCGATGCCCGCAAGACGGACGAGCAGCTGCGTGTTCCCAATCTGGGAGCCCTTGTGTATTCGTGTGTGTGTGTGTGTGTGGGTGTCTCGGGGCGTGTTGAGCAGAGATGTTTGGAATCCTGGGATGCATGCAAAGCCGCATCAAGGACGAAGCATCGAGACATCGAGCGCGAGTGGAAGCAGCGCGTTGAGGAGCTGAAGACCGGCTTGACAACCGCGCGCGACACAATCCAAGCCCAAAAGATCCAGATGGCCAAATTGATGCTTGGATTGGGCGAGTCTTATTGTGCTTCAGTGGCTGACCCTTCACATCCCCTGCTGCTCAGGAAGGCGTCGGAGAAATCCGACAACAACTCCGATCTGCACGAAGCAATAGCTCACTGGAAGACTCAGCTAAGCCAAGCCAACACCAAGCTCGAGGAGAGGTTCTGCAAATTTACACGGAAGCCAGAGTTTCGCTGCACATCTTTTTGTTACACCGCAGCAGCCTGGGCCGTGCCTAAGGTGTCCCATGGACACACGTGTAATGTTAGCTCAGGGCAGCTTAAATGGTACATGCTTGCGTTTGACAGAAACTACATAAGTCAAGTGACATCTGCTTCTTCTGTTCCGGGTGGCCAGAGTTTTGCTGGAAGTCTTGCCCATGAAGGATCAGCACCGGCTGACCGCGCACCTGCAGCAGAAGCTGG